AACCCGGAGCCTCGGGGCCCACCAGTCTCCAAAGGACTGGTACGAACTGGCTGCTTGCTCCAGGGAAGCAGGGACAGAGTCCTTCCCGGCATCCGTGGAAGAGGCTGGGTTACTATGCGGGATATGGAGACTTAACAGGCTCTGTGGCCAAGCTTGAGTTTGAAGTGGAAAGAAGCTGGCACTCATGGGGCAGGAGTGACAGCTGGGGTGCAGGAATGCAGCCATAGGGCCCCCCTTGCCTAACCCCCAGAGGGCTTCATGCTTATATCATGGGGGAGGGTGCCCCAGCCAGCACTCGGAGGGACAGTGCCTGCCATGACCAGCAATCCTCGGTTAGTGACAGTGCTGGACAGCTGATGCCCAACACATGCTGAGGACTGTCCTTTGCCCTGCGGCCAGGGCCCAGGCCAGGCAGGAAAGGACTGAGGTCAGGAAGGGGCTGGGGGAGCCTGCCGGGCGGCCTGTGCACCAGGCCTCTGCATGTGCGCCGGGGAGGCCTGGTGAGGCCCCAGGCAAGCCAAGGGGGAAAGCCCTGAGCTGGACACCTGGCTCCGGGCCTGGCTCTGCCACTGTGGGCTGTGTGCCCTCAGACAAGTCCCTTTCCTTTCCTGGGCCCATGTCCCTGTTTGCAGGATGGGACAGGGAGTGGGGGAGAGGAGGCCAAACCCACACTGATTGTGCATCAGTGCGTATTGGGCACTTGCCAGAAGCTTTAAGAGTTTTCTTGTTTGATTTCACAGCAACTAGGAGCAAGTCCAATCCCCTATTTACAGTCATGGACAATGAGGCTCAAAGGTCCAGAAACTTGTCTGAGGTCACAGGGTCAGAAATACGCCAGAGCTGGCCCAGCTGCTCCTCTGGCCCTCCATGCTCCTGACCTCTGAGTGGCTGAGGGTGAAAGGACTCACAGGTTTCCGGGTCCGGAACATGCTGCCATGCAAGGCCTCCCTCTCTCCTGGGCCCCAGGATCTGCATTTCCCCTCAGAATCAGGAGGGGAGCCTGTTGTGTGTGTGCATGTGGGACAACTTAGAGGTGTCACCAGCTGCCTGTTGTGACCAGAGTGTTGTCTCTCTCTCTTGCTTTCAAAGCTGGGAGCAGCACTAACTCCCAGGGCTGGGCCCAGGATGCGGGGCCACCCTGGGGTGCACAGCAGATACAGACCCTGCCTCACCTGGCCCCCACCAGGTAAAGGGGCAGTGTTATGCCTGGGCCACTTAACTGACGGGGAAGCCCAGGCTCAGAGACATGGCCTACACTGACTCCCACGTCCTCCTCAACACTGCCTCCACAGCCAGGACAGATCTCAGTGCGGGGTGTGCCAGTGGTCACCCCAGTGGTGGCCAGCAGAGGCCCGAGTGCACAGAAGGCCCTTGTAAAGTCTGGATCACTAATGGAATTTGAGGTCATCTTGTCCAGCTCCCCTGTTTCACAGATTGGTAAACTGAGGTGCAAGGGAGGGCTAGCATGCCCTCAGTCCCGTGCGTAGCTGGAAGCAGAGCCAGGCCTTCTACGTCTCATCAGCCTGAGCTCCTTCCCCTTCCCAATGCTGTCTGGGCATCCCCAAGCACCAGGAAGTCCCTTACAAGGTACAGAGCCATCACCTTCCTGGACAGAATTGTCCTACCTTGCCCTCAGACCCAGGCTGGGGGCACTAGGGCTTGCCTAGGGATAGAACCCCACCTAGAAGGCTGACAGTTGCCATCCTGAACGTCAGGAGAACCTGGGCTAGGCCCCATCCGGCTGGCCTCCTGCTCCCCTCTCTGCTAACACAGGGCAATGAGCTGAGTGGAGCAGAGCAGACCAGCTCACCGTCACTGCCGGCTGGGCTGGACCCTGCTGCCTCCACCAGGGTCCCCTGGCACAGACATGGCACAGATGTCCCTCCACGTCCTGTTTTCCTTCTGATATCCCCTGGCTCCTCAGTGCCCCTCTCTGCTGCAGTCTGCTCTTGGGCGGGACACTGTGTCCTGCGGAGTCACCTCTCTCTGTCCCTCATGCACGTTCCAAGCTGCAAGTGGAGGGGAGACACCCTTTGCTGCACAGTGAGGTTGACACCCCTCTAATCCCAGAATGGACGCTGGTGCGTCAGAAAGACGCATGTGTCCCCTGGTCCAGCCTCCCTGCTAGGCAAGCATTCCCTCTGCATCCTCCCTGATGGGGCTGCCTGGCCTCACTTGGACACCCCCAGTAATGCGGGACTCACCACCACCCCCAAGGAGCCCCTCCACTGTGGGGCAGCTCACCAGGATGGACCTGTGTTGGTGGGGTCGGGAGTGAAAAGGGGAGGCAGGAAGCCTGAGGAAGGGTTACCATGGAATCTCATCAAATGTCAGATGGATTCTCCAGTAGCATGACCAGCGGCAGGCCCCACTAGGAGGCTTTAGGCTCATGGGGAACTAACAGGCTTCCCTGCCTGGGGCATTCTGGTCTTTTGGCCTTGGGAAACCAGATCTTTCCTGCCTCCTTGCTTTTGCCCCTATTAACTCCTCCACCGGCAAGCCCTTCCACCACCGTTGTGTGTATTTGTTCATTTTTTGCGTTGTTTTAGCAAGAAGGGTAAATCTGGTCTCTGTTAGTTCATTGTGGTCAGAATTATCCAAATATACCTTTCTTCAAATATTCTCCTAATTGCATTAAAAAAAAAAAAAAATTGGATGACTTTCGGCGTGGCAGATGCTTCTGTCTGCCTGTCCCCACCTTTTGCCTTTAACCTGGCTTTCCCTAGTCCATCGTGGCTCCTGCCTGCCACCCAGAAACCTCTGCTTTGCCACTGATGCCTGGGTGGTTTGGCCTAGGGTGGTGGAGATAGGAGAATAAATCTAAGGTTTTTCCAAAGAACCAAGAGGATCTGGTGACCAACCGAATAGGGGTGTGGAGACAAAAGGGGGGAAGCATGATGTCCTGATTTTGGGATAGGGTGGTGGGGGTCTCTCTGAGCCATAAAGGTAAGCGAATGGGTCTAGCTGTTAGCATCGAGGCTCATGGTAAACATGATAGTTACTTCGTAGGCCCAGATTCATGGATTACTCAACGGCTTGTTCTATCTTCTCTTTAAGTGATATGATTACTTCTGGGACAAAAATCCTCAAACACTATTTCTGCATGTTCCTGGCCATTTCCCCCACTGGGTGGGCTTCAGGAAAGGGCCAGTGGAGCCCTCACCTAAGGTCATGGTGCCATAGTGAACATCCTGAAGGTGTAGGTCAAGTGTCTCCTGATCAACACTGCAGCCACTCCTGTGTGCAGTATCTGGTACATAGTAGGCTCAGACCTCTACTCATTGACTCCTATGACAACTCATAACATAGACCCCTTGGTTAATGATACCACTGCCAGAGAAACGAAATAAGGAAGAGGCAATGGGAGGGAAAGAGGATGGGGGCATTTCAGAAGTTTAGGTTTGAGGTGCAGGGGAGACATCCAGGCAGACTCTCAGAGGTGCTTGGGTCTACAGGCGTGGGGCTCAGGAGATGGCCACACTCGGAGACAGAGGTTTGAGCAGGATCTTCAACCAGGGCAGTGGCTGATGCCACTGGTGTGGGCATGAGTGATGGGTGAGGAAAAGGCTGAGGATGGAACTCTCAAGTTCATCTGCAACCAAAAGAACTCATAGGAATAGGAATAAGGCGGCTCAGCAGAAGCCTGCCAGGAGAGCGGTGCCTGTGAACCCAGGGAGTGGTGTCAGGAAGGAGGGGTGGTCAAGACATGCCAGTGCAGCTGAAGGTACAGCTGGGTGACCAATAAAAAGTGCCACCGCAACCTGGAAAGGATGTCCTGGTACCTGGCAACTGTGTGGTCTTGGGTGATGGTTTTGGACCAGATTCCTTTTGTCCATAGAATAAAAACTGACAAAAAAGTAGTTCAAGGCAGAGTATGGGGGTGGGGGGAGCTTGTGGATCCCACTGTAAGAACACAGCCATGCAGCATGGGGATGAGGGATGGGCCGTGGAAAATCAGCACCAGACAGCACCTCTTCTCCTGCTCCCTCTCTGGTGCTCTTCTTCCCACGTGGGGACTCAGGACCTTTCCTCTTCCCTCTGAAGCTTTTGCAGATGATGTCAGGCTTCTCCCAGCCTCACCTCCAACCTCTGCTCCCTTCCACAGAAGGGGTTAGGCTGGTGGGGGCTCTTCCCAGGAGTCCTACAGAAGAGTGCTCCAGCAGACAAGGACCCTTCCCACGCTCCCAAATGACGTGGGTGGTTGTGGGTGACTGCAGGCCAGCTTTACCCTGGGGGTGTGGGGGGCACCAGGCAGTGGCAATAGAGGGGGCTCTTCCCAGGTGCACTGGAGGCCAGCAGGCCAGCCACCCCGGGCCTCCAGCTGTGACAACTGGGAAGAGAGGTCAGGTGTTCCTCTCCATGCTGTTCTCACCTGAGGCTTTGTAGAAACAGTTATAAGTACCAGTTTACAGTGGTGGGGCAGAATTTCTCCTTTTTGTCAGCAGAGTTTTCTCAGAAAAACTGGGAGGGGAAGTCAAATAGGTAGATAGATAGCTGCTGTTGAGTCAATTCCAACTCACAGACACCTTACATACAACAGAACAAAATGTTGCCTAGTCCTGCGTCATCCTCACAATTGCTGGCATGCTGGAGTCCACGTTGTGGCTATGGTGCCAATCCATCTCACCGAGGGTCTCCCTCACCCTCACTGGCCCCCTGCTTCACCAAACATGATGCCCTCCTCAGTGACTGATCCGTCCCAACGATGTGCCCAAAGCGAGTCGAACAATGTTCTGTTGTGATTCATTAGCTAATTTTTGGAAGTAGATTGCCAGGTCTTCCTTCCTAGTCTTAGTCTGGGAGTTCTGCTGAAACCTGTCCACTATGGGTGATCCTGCTGGTATTTGAAACACTGGTGTCATAGCTTCCATATAAGCCACCATAGTACGACAAACTGACAGACAGGTGGTGGAAATAGGTATATACAGGCCACACATTTCTTGTAATTTCCTATTAAGTTTTAAAACTATTAATAATTGAATAACAAAAGAAAACAATTATCTGATTGATGTAGGTATTATTTATAATGTAACAGTTCTGAGACAAAATCCAATACAATACAAATTACTGAAGATTCCATATTAGTTCATTTTAGAAATGACACAATCCAAACCAAACCTTACAATAAATTTCCTTAGATAACCTTTAAGGAATTTTTCATTCCCACTATTTGGCTCTGGAAAATCTTTATCGGTCACAAACACTCGTTACATTAGGAAAATAATTTAGGTATAGTTGTTAGGCACAGGTTAAAAGGGATAATATGCACAAACTATAATTACATATCAACACGTCTTTGGAACACACATATGAACTATTTAAATAACTAATATTTTAGATAAATTTAAAACATACTTCAAAAATCGTTTTAATGTATCCTTTACTTTCTAATGCACTGAGGAAAAATTTCTTTTTGATTTCTTCAGCAGTAAAACTCTGTCCTAAACCAGGATTTACCTTCTCCTCTTGAGAAGCAAGCCGAAGCGTTTTTGCATCTGCTTAAAAATATACTTGGGAAAACATCTGCTGATACAGAAGCACCGTACCGAGAGGCTAGGCTGTGTGGCTCTGCTGTGGGCACGAGAAACCACTGGGGGTTGAGCTGTGCTGTTGGTCCCCGGGAAGCCCAGAGAGCTGCGAATGTAGGTGACCCTGAGGGGCTTCAACCAGGCCAGAGCTACTGGAAGGGTTTCCAACATTGGTAGGCACAGGAAGACGGGGGTCAGGAGGGGTGACAGAAATCCTGTCACCATTTTAACTCGCCCCTCCGTCTGGAACTCTGGGAACAGGCAAGGAGTTTTCTTGGTAGTGTCTGCCCATGAAAACAAAAGAGCCACCTCATTCAATGATTCAAAAGCATTTACCATCTTACAAAATTTTAATGGGTATGAGAAACTATGAGTTTAACCCTAAATTCTGTGTCAGTGACGCTATTTTAATAAACTCATATCAAACTGCTTATGACAACATCAATACCATTTATTCATTTTCTTTCTTTTCCCTTCTATTCTTTTTCTTAGGCAGAATTTGCTACCTATCAGTTATCTGTTTTGGACATCAACTATTACTGGCTGCAAAACACTTGTGTGTGTATACACACATGAGATGTAGCTAACAAGCTGCATGTTGAATTTTATGTTACATGTGGAAATGAGTTCCAGTACTTCAGAGCTATAGTAAATATGAGACCTGTTACTAATCATACACATACTTGGCCAGCCTCAAACCAACATTCATTCATATAAAAATATACTGTATATCTTTTACTTTTGTAGAATCCTTCATTTAAATATCACTAAAAATATGTTCTAACAACTTTTTACCTAGGCTTACCAATCAGGTAAGAAATATCGTAAGATCAAGAGATGAAACTCTTTTAAAAACAAGTTTCGTAGTAGAAATTAATTACTTTAAAAACGTTGTTGACTTTTAAAGCAGCAATTAAACTTTGTTCATAATAATAATACTGTCATATCAAATTGTGGATTTAAATAAATTTAACTTAAAAGTGTTTTGCTTATCTCTTTAAAAAGTAATACAGATTTCTGTCTTACTTAGTGGCTTCTCCAGTCTTCCAATTCCAAGGAATACAAAGGTCTCCATCTTGCATAACAGAGTAAAAATGTGAAATGCAGAGATGCATCCCATGGAGATAAGGCAATGATTGTTCTAGCAGTCTCTTACAACAATCTACCATTTGTATACTAGAAACGCTGGGCTCCTTATATAACTTCTCCAGAGAAAATTTCCTTGTTGAAGCCTGTATCAATTCACTTTCAATAACCTTTAACCTGTTTTATTAAAAATAAAAATAATATTGCCATAAGTGATAACTTAATAGAAGAACACAAAAAGAACGAAGGGAAAAAGAAGCCACTGAAAACCCTATGAAACACAGTTCTACTCCGACACACATGGGCTGCCATGAATCGGAACTGACTTCAGTGGCAACCAGTTTGGTTTTGGAGGTGTGAACACAATTATTCTAAAGGAGCAGAAAGGAATGCTTCAAAGTAGTATACCACATGCCCTTCAACGCAGGTTCTGGTACACCAGGTGCACTACCCAGACCCTGGAATCCAGGCTGCAGTAGATACCACAGGTATCCAGAAGGAGCTTTGCAGTTCTCAAGTTCATTCTGTAGGATTACACAGTATCTTTAGCTTATCTATCTTGTACATATTTGTATCCTGAGGCTAACCTGCAGTATAAAAAGCAAAAAATACATTCTCTATTTTAATAATTAAAATTCTTATCCTAATAATGCATGTACCTTTGGTAGTTCAACAAGTCTATAAAATGATAAGAATTAGCAATAATCCCCTACCTACAGTCTTATACCTTTGTTGTCCATTTTTTAAAAAAAACAGTTTTAAACTTTTTATTACTGACAATTTTAAACACATACAAAGTAGAGACTAGCATACTGAAAGCCCACGGGCCCGTCACCAAGCTTCATCAGTTGGTAACTCATGGCCAGCTTTGTTTTCTCTATAACTCTATTCATTTCCTCTTATTCTGAAGAAAATCCATTATATTACTACATCTATAAGTATTTTCTAGACTGTATCTCTAAAATATAAGGATTCTTGCTTCCTCAAAAATACTCTAAAGCTATAAAAAGCAGCGGCTATGGTGTAGCAAACAAAATCAGCCCTGATAATGAAAGGTGAGCCAGAACTGCTCCCAAGGGTTAAAGCAGACTTACTTTAGAAAAGTAGTATTATAAGCACAAATGCTTAACAACTAACCAAGAAGTAGGCTATTTGTGCAATAGGATTTGGCCAATAAAGTTGTCACCAATTCCACAAGCAAAACAGAGATGCAGCTCCTTCACTTACTTTATACATTAGAAGATCTCCTTACGTCTTGTTAAAGGGATGGCTTCCATGGTTCTCTTTAATTGCCACCCTTCTTCTCTCTTTATTATATACCCCTGGTTTTTAAAAATTTGTGGACACTGGGGGCAATAAGGTAGGAGAAATAAGTAATCAGAGGGCTTCCACCAGCATATTCCTGAACAAGTCCCCACGGCGTCTTCAAATACCAGAGACCACATCCCTGTTCTCTTTATCCCTCCTCCTGGAAACGTTCCTCCCCTGATATCTGTGAGTCGTTCTCTTCAGCTCCTTCCTGCTCCTCTGCCACAGCCTTCCCTTCAATGCCCATGTCCCCAGAGCAACTCAATTCGACTCTGTGGGCTCAGCTACCACTGACATACTTATAGCACTCAAGTCTCCTACTAGACAAATTCCAGGAGAGCAGGGGCCAGGTCTCCTTCATCTTTCTATCGAAGACACCTACCACAGCTTCCGGCACACAAACATCACAGTACATGACGGCTGAATGAATAAATGAATGGTTACAAAACCTCCTGAGGCAACATCGTTAGAAAAACAACCCACTACTGAATATAATATCCTCCCTTCTTCATAGCAGACACAAGCAGCCCCTTAATAAAAAACAGGAAACTGCTATAATATGATTCTTTCAAAGATGCAAACAACATAAAAACAGGACTGCTTCTGAATGAAAACAATATCTTTACTTTAAAACTCTTTCTCAATTTCATTAAAATAGAGATGAGGCTCTCTTCAGATCAGCTGTATTCAAATTTTTAAGCAATGAAGATTCCCATCGATCAAGCAGTAACTGATTTTTTTTTTCCTTGTGGCCACTCTTCTCCATCTGGAGAATTTCTTTCAGGTATTCTTATTTTTCACTCTGCTCCTGAGTTGAAGTTTTCTATTAAGAAGCCCTTCTCAAATTGAGGCACACGGTGGTAAAGTGATTAAGGTTATTATACTTACAAAACAGCCTCATCAAATCCCTTGCAGAACAAAGTGGGGAATAAAGAAATATGGAATATCCACAAATAAGTCAATTTTGTAAGCTTAATACGATATTAATGTCTATCAGTTCTGAATATCTGATTTTTTAAAGTTAGATTGAACAATGTAAGAGAGGGCTAACAGTACTTACTCTTCCTTTCGTTTCATGTTCTCTCTTGCCTGCTGGGCTTTGGTGAGAATAAACCATTGGAGGCTTGCTGGATCACAGAGGGCTGGAATGTTAAAATGCCCGAGTTCATGCAAGCTTGGAGCGTATCTATCACTGTAGTTAAGCATACATTAAAGGACAATTATTGATCTATTCCACCTCTTTCCCCAAGAAAATGTTTTCTTAGTCTCTGAAATAAGAATTAAGAAAATCTACTTCAGGAGTTTAATAAAACTGACATATCTTTGCTGACCCCAAAAAGACACCCTTGGTCAGAATGACCATGTACTTCCTAGCTCTGTGACCTTCCTCAGCTGTACAATGTGGGTAGTACCTACTTCATATTGAGGTTGTGAGACCTAAAGAGTATTAACATTTATGTACTAAATGTATATGATGTACGTAGTACTAAATATGTTAATATTCAAGCCCAGTGGCTGGAAAATAGTATATACACAAAAAATGTTGGCCATTGATTTAAGAATAGTTTAATGCTACAAAGCTTTCCATTGGACTGACTTTGCTCAGGAAGTGGGAATATAATCACAGAATGTTCTAGAGATTCAACCCCTTGATGCTCTCATGGTGGGTTTTCTAATGTAGAAATGAGTACTGTTAACTGAAGCAATAATATTCTTTTTCTTAATTTCTAAGAATCACACACTGAAATTAAAAACGTGTGTGTGTGTGTGTGTGTGTATATATATATATATATATCTAGACACACAACCCACCTAAGTGAAAGTAATCCTCCTGTTTTACATTTTTACCTGTTAAGGATCATTTGTAAACCACGCAGACTTCGAGGATGAAAAGGTATTCTATTTTTCAACAGTCTGTTATAGAACACATCAAGAAGAGAGTAATATTCTTCAACTGTCAATACTGGCTGTAATTCTTCAATATAAACAACTTGTATGCCACCTAGAAGATAGCTTATTTGGTCTTCTAAAAGCATCAGCTTCCTCTGAAGGTCAAAATAACTTGGCAATCTTTCAAAAAGCTACAATATTAGAAAAAAGAGAAATATATAGTTTCATGTTACTATGATTACTTAATTTTAGGATTCCAATAAATGGTATTGAGAAATTTTAATGAGAAAAATTATTTTCCTAGGAGGAAAGTTCAAGTGAGAGATAAGAAAAAGACAATGTAATGTTGAAAATATTAATATCCAAATAAAACACTGCAAATCTTCGGGACTTATGGATAGGAACTGAAGAGCTTGCAGAAAAAAAGAAATCTGTTCCAAATAAAAATAAGCCCTAAGTACTAAATTTAAATATGCAGGTAAGAATCTTAAATAAGTTTTGAATGATTAAATGGTACAATAAAGAAGGGTTTTAGAAATAAAGTATATGTATTTCAACTCCAAGTTTATTCCTTTAGAATTTAATTTACAAAACTCAATTAAATGTAATAAACATTATTGAGCACATACCATGTGTTTACACAATGAACTGGGTACTTGGAGCACACAGATTATAGGAGTTTGTTCCTGTTTTCCAGGGGCTCACAGTTCAGGATATAAAGAAGAGGTTCAAGCAAAGGTTTCTAAGCAAGTCTAATTTGGCCGAAAGATAACTGAATGTAGCAAAGGTAGATGAATGCCGGACGTTTTGAGGACAGAAGAGCGAGCATGTGCAAAGACAGAAACATGGAAAGGAACAGCATGTTCAAAACCAAGGAGTGTGGAATGGCTGCAGTGTGACATGTTTGGGAGTTGTGGAAAGGGAAGAGACTAAAGAGGTAGGTACGGGCTACATCAGGCAAGGCCCTTGTGTGCTACATTAAGGACTCAGATTTTATACTGAAAGCTTTAAGAGGAGTTAAAATGCATCAAAAACTCTGCTATAAAAGAGCAGTAGCAATATAAACATTCTATGAATTATTTTACAACTCTAACACTTTGTGCAAAATAATTTTATTCCCTACTTTTTCAATTTTTCTGCTAATGGGTGATTCATATATATGTGGTAACGACATTGAAAGAACTTTTATTTTGAAATAAAGAGGTAGAAAACATGACCCACAGTTAGGAGAATCAATCAAAATCAACCCGGAACTGACACAGATATTAGAATTAGAAAAGGTGGCCATAAAAACAATTCTAACTGCATCTCACATGCTCCAAAAGTTAGACAGAGACATGCATGATATAAAAAAAGATTCAAATTGTACAAAGTTTCTGCCTGGGGTGATGAAAAAGTTTTGGAAACAGACAGTGGTGATGGTTGCACAACACTGAATGTAATGAATGCCACTGACTTGTACACTCAGAAAAATGGTCAATACAGCAAATTTCACCACAATAACACTTAAAAACCAAAAACAAACTCAGACCGCACTTCTAGAGATTAAAATTGCAATGTCTGAGACTGAAGAAAGTACCCTGAAGGAATTAACAGATTAGACATTGCAGAAGAAAAGATTAATGTGTCTTTTGAAGACATAACAATAAAAATAATCTAAAATAAAACACAAAGAGAAAAAATTCTAAAAGATGACAAGAATATTAATGAGCTGTAAGGAAACTTCAAGTAGCCTGACAGACATGTATTTAAGGTCCCCAAAGGAGAGGAAATGCAGGTAGATGTAAAAATTCTAAATAAAATGTTATGAATATACATATAGATTCCACCATATATTTAAAAAATAATACATCGTGACCAACTGGGATTTATTTCAAGAATCCAGAGTTGGTTTCACATTTGTAAATCAATGAAATTCACCATATTAACAGACTGAAAAAGAAAAATCATACGACCATCTCAACAGATACAGAAAGAGCATTTGACAAAATCTAATATCCATTCCTTATAAAAATTCTGAGCAAAGTAGGTACAGAAGGGAATTCCTTAACCTGACAAAAAAGCATCTACAAAAAAACCTATGGGCTAACATTATACTTATGGGAGAAAATCTGACTGCTTCTCATCCAAGGTCAAGAACAAGATAAGGAGGCCAGCTCTCACCACGTCTTTTCTACATTGTACAGATTCTAGCCGGTGCAATCTATCAGGCTAAATAAAGAAATAATTGGTATCTTAACAATATTGAGTACTGACCCATAAACAAGGTATCTCTCTCCATTTATTCAGGCTTTCTTTACTTTCTTTCGGCAACTTTTCTAGGAATCCAGATTGGGAGGGAAGAAATAAAACTGCCTTTAATCGCAGATGATGACCGTCTACGTAAAAAATCCAACAGAATCTATAAAAAAGCCACTAGAATTAATAAGCGAGTTTAGCAAGGTTGTAGAACACTTGATCAACATACAAAATCAATCTTATTTCTAAGTATCAGCAATAAATACTTGGAAACTGAAATTAAAATATAATGCCATTTATAATAACATAAAAAAAAGAAATACTAGGGATAAATCTGATCAAAGGTATGACCTGTACACTGATAACTTGAAAACACTGCTGAGAGAAAGTAAAGAAGACCTAAATAAATGGAGAGATATACCTTGTTCATGGGTCAATACTGAATATTGTTAAGATGTCAGTTCTTCCCAAATAGATTTATGAATTTAATGCAATCCTAATCAAAATCCCAGAAGGTTTTTTGTAAGATTGAGAAACTAATTCTAAATTTAGATGAAAATACAAAGGACCTAAAATAGTCAAAACAACTTTAAAAGAAGAACAAAGTTAGAGGGCTAACACCACCTGATTTCAGGACTCAATGTAAAGCTACAGTAATCAAAACCGGGTCATACTGGCACAACAACGGACAAACAGATCAATGAAAGAGAATACAGAGTCCAAAAATAAACCCTCACATATATGGACAGCTGATATTTGACAAGGATCAAAGGAAATATAGTGGAGAAAGGATAGCCTTTTCAATAAATGATGCTGGAACAATTAGGTACTAGATATCCATATACCAAAACAAAAACACTTGGATCTATATTTTGCACTACATACAAAAATTAACTCAAAATGGGTCACAGACCTAAATGTGAAACTGAAAACTATGACACTTCTAGAAGAAAACAGAGTAGAAAATCTTTGTGACCTTGGGTTAGTCAAAGGTTTCTTAGATACAATACCAAAAGCATAATCCATAAAAGAACAAATTGATAAAAGTGAACTTCATCAAGTTAAAATTTATCCCATTTTTGAAGGACAAAGTTAAGAGAATAAAAAGATTGAGTCACAGAATGGGAAAAAATATTTGCAAACCACATATCTGATAAAAAGCCTGTATTCAGAATATATAAAGAAACCTCAAACTCAAGAATAAGAAAGCAAACAACCTAATTAAAAAATGGGGCAAAGATCTGAACAGACATTTCACCAAAAAAGATCTGCAGGTGGCAAACAAGCACATGAAAAGACACTCAACATCATTAGTCATTAAAGAAAGACAAATTAAACACACACTGAAATAGTACTACACACCTATTAGAATGGCTAAAATTAAAAAAGATGACCATACCAAGTGTTGGCAGTTTTTAAAAAAAGTTAAACATACATGTACTATATGATCCAGACATTTTACTCTTAAAAGAAAACATATATCCGTACAAACTCTTGTACACAAATGTTCATATCAGCTCTATCTGTAATCGCCCAAAACGGAAAGAACACAATGTCCATCAACAGGTGAATGGACAAAATTGGACGATGTTTACCACACAATGGATACTACGTGGCAATAAAAAGGAATGAACTCTTGACACATGCAACAACATGGATAAATCTCAAAGTAATTATGCTGAGTGAAAGAAGCCACACAAATAAGTACATACTCTGATTCCATTTATATAAAACTAGAAAACACAAACTAATTTATAGTGACAGAAAGCAAATCAGTGGTGGCTTCGAGAGCAGATAGTGGGGCAGGAGAAGGGAGGAGGGTTTACAAAGGGCCGTAAGAATCCTTTTGAGGATGACGGACATGTTCACTCTCTTGATTGTGGTCTCCCAGGTGTATACAAATGTCAAGAAGCCCTGGTGGCATGGGGGTTAAGAGCTATAGCTGCTAACCAAAAGGTCGGCAGTTCGAATCTACCAGCCGCTCCTTGGAAACCCTATGGGGCAGTTCTACTCTATCCTATAGGGTCGCTATGAGTCGGAACCAACTCTACGACACCTAACAACAACAACATATATATGTCAAAGCGTATCAAATTACACACATTAAATATGTGCAGTTGATTGCATGCCAACTGTATCTCAATAAATCTGTTCAATCAAACCAAACCAAACAACAGAATACAGGCTTTTAGGCTGTGCTTCAGAAAAGACTGCAACACTTCCAAGTAAAAAATAACTAAAAAATCAGTCTTTCAAGTAATTTAACTATATGATATTAAATATCTGATTTGAAAACAGCTAAAGCTATGATTACAAATTATTTTTTAGTTTATGACATAATACCATTGTTTTAAACAAAAGTACACTGATAATAAAGACATTTTCTTGCTTTTTAGGATTTCCTTACTTTTGTCCAATGATGATGGACATCCATTGTTCCCAGCATCACATGGCCCATGGCACTCATTCCGGAACGGTCTGTAAATATTAGTGTACATCCTGAGGATGAAAGAACACAAACCCTTTGGCTACTATCCAGAGATGCTTCATTCTTCTTACAGTTGTGCAAATAATCACTTAAATTTAGTGTGTATATTCAGGATTACATTCACTAGAGGCTTAAAGGAGAATTTTATGTCACTGTTTTATTCAAGGAGCCCTGGTGGCTCAGTGGTTAAGAGTTCAGCTGCTAACCAAAAGGTCGGCAGTTTGAATCCACCGGCTGCTCCTTGGAAACCCCATGGGGCAGTTCTACTCTGTCCTATAGGATTGCTATGAGTTGGAATCGACTCAATGGCAACAGGTTTTTTTTAATTTTTTATTCAAAGATTTAAAAATTCAGTTGTGATAAGGTCATATCTGAAAAGACTTTTAACACTTAGTTTTACCCTACAATTTACCGGTGATATCTGAGAAGAATATTGTACGATGTTTACCTTTTGCAGTTTTAAGTGCTTCCAAGTTCTGCTGTGCTAATCGGCCTAAACTATGCAGCTGGCTACAGCGATGGGCGATCCCCCAGCTCCTCTGCCACCTAGGCCAACAGAGCACACAGGCCGTTAGCAGCCGGCCTCCCTGAAGGAGGAAGCAAGCAGTCACCACAAACTGCCTGATTCCTGTGAAAGCCAACCATCTTCTTCCCGAAGTAGGCACACAGCATGTTTCAGATTGCCTTATGCTTTCCAAATCAGCTGAGTTTTCAAGAAGCAATAAAATGAAAAAGGAATTGTTTACCATAATATACCAAAAATATTACTACTTATGTTCAGGTATGCAGAAATTTTAAACAAGCAAATACACTACACTGTTTTCATTTTAAAATAAAATAAAAGGATAAAATGAGAAAAATGGAAAAAAAAATCGATTTCTCATTCACATTGTAAAATAACAAAGATTTTGTTTTATATTTAAGTTCCAATTAGGAATTCTGGTTAGGTTTATCAGATCCTTTTCATCTTATATGAGAGAAAGTGATTTTTATGATGTGGAATCTTCTCATTTTATAAACTAATATTAAATCTTAGCAACAAAATGCAACCTGGTGTCCACACAGTGTCACAGAGCATAGCTGTGTGAGTATAAAGAACACTGGTCTTAAGGGGCTCAGAAAACCCATCCTGGAATTCTACCTCTGCACCTTACTAGCTCAGTGACCTTGAACAAAATGGTTTAGCCTTCCTATAGTTTTACTTTCACACATGTGAAATGGGGGCATTTCCTACTTCACACGTGTAAATCACATGAGAAAATACATGTGAAGGACTCAGGCACTCAAAAAACTTTAGGTTTCTCAAAAAACTAAAAATAGAATCACCATATGACCCAGAAACTCTACTCCTAGGTATACACCCAAAAGACTCGAAAGTGGAGATTCAAGAAGAGACTTGTGTACTAACGTTCATTGTAGCACTGTTCACAATAGCCAAAAGGTGGAAACAACCTAATGTCCATCAACAGACGAATGGATAAACAAAATGTGGTACCATACCTACAATGGAATACTACTCAGCCAGTAGGAGAAATGAGGTCTTGATACATACTACAGTACAGATGGAGCTTGAAGACATTATGTTGAGCGAAATAAGCCAATCACAAAAGGACAAATATTGTATAACTTTACTTATATAAAAAGACAAGAAAAGGCAAATGTACAGAGATCAAAGTTTATTAGTGGTTACCAGTGGCAGGAGGGAAGGGGAAAATAGGGGTTAACAGTGATGGATAAATCAATTGATTAAGGGTAGTGTTGCACAGCTGATTATTGTAAATGCTGTAAATAAGTTGTAAAAAGTTAAACTGGCGAAAGTTGTGTGATAGATATATTTGCAACAAAGACCAAAAAAAAAAAAAAAAAAAAAAAGAGCAGCTGCTGAGGCTGCTTATGTACAACCATAAACCTCATGGGATTTGGTTCCTTGGTTTGGAGGTGTAGGGTCATGGTTTCATGGGAACATCCAAGTTAATTGGCCTACTAATGTGTTTAGTGCTTCTGTTCTACCTCATGGTGTGATGTGTAGTGCTTGGGGTCTTAAAAGCTACAAGCAGACATCCAAGGCACAATAACTGATCTCTATTCATCTGGAGCAACAAAGGAAGAAGGAGAGTCAGGAACAGGAAGAGGATATGGAATGTGTGGCTAATTGCCTCCATGAACAACTGCCTCCTTTGCCATGAGACCAGAAGAACTGGATGGCACCTGACTACTACTGCTGAACATTTTGATCAAAGATTCCATAAAAGAATCCTGATCAAAAGGAGGAAAATGCAGAACAGAATTTCAAATTCTCACAGACTCTAGACTTTCTGGAGCCCTGGAAGGTACATGAACCCCTGAAACTACTGCCCTGAGATAATCTTTAAATCTTAAACCAAAAATATCTCCTGAAGTCATCTTAAAACTGAACAATAGTTTAGCTTAACTGGTATAAAAGGCCTGCCTTGAGCATTATACTCTTTTAAGAACTATCTATATGGGATCATATTGACAACAGTAATTCAAAAGATTAGATAGGAACCTGAGGGGACAGTGAGTTTATGATAATGAGAGAGAAACAACTCAGAAAAGGAGGGTGAGAATGGCTGCACAACTCGAATGGAATCAATGTCACTAAATTGTACATGCAGAAACTGTTGAATTGGTGTTATGTTTTGCTGTGTATATTCCCAACAACAACAAAATAAACAAAATTAGAAAAGAAAAAAAAAAAACTTTAGGTTTCTACTTTATCGTAACACTGATTCTTATGAATGTCACTTCTGATAAAATGAAAACTTTTTTTTTTAAATTTTCCGTTTAATGCACAATTCAAAAACTAAGATATTTCTAAGAATTAACATTAATTTTGATTATTTACAATTTAATATACTTAAGTGATAATGCTTCTAAGTGGTGTTCTATTAATAAATGATCTTTCATATAGGCTGTTTAGAAGTGAAAATGATGTCATTAGTCACAATGTTTCCATTTGTTGGCAATTTGGCTAATTTTCCAGTGAACAGAGAAGTCCTCATGTCTATGGTTTTCAAATTTTTTGGTCTCAGAACTCCCTTTACACTCTTAAAAATGGAGAATGCCAAAGAAGTTTAGTTTATGTGGGTTACATTCATTGATATCTACCATATTATAAGGCAAACTGAGAAATTTCTCTACGATATGGTAAAATGTTCATTTTTTTATGTTTAAGAAATCCTTTCATTTTCCTAATCCCAATTAGTTTTGACAGATTTTAAAAATTTATACTACAAAAAATTATTTTCATGCACATTAATTTGTTTTATAAACTTTTAAAAAAAAGCATCTTACTATTTTTAGTAGTTAGAAAGGTCTATGTTACTAGATTATGGAGTCGGAAGAACCCCTTTAATCAAAGTTTGTTCTAAACACTAACGATCAAAGAGCAGCTATCAGCACAAACTCAAGCCGACTAAATACTGTAAGTCCAAAGGCTTTCCTCTGAAATTTGAATTATCTTAAAGAACTGTTATTTGAATACACAACAAAAGAACATGTGAAGACTAATCTGTATTCTGTAAGCACAGGGAAAGGGTTCTACTACAGTTCCAAATAGCCATTTGGTTCAAAATACTAAGAAAAAAAAAAAATCCTAATAATGAGAGTTGAAAACTATAAAACAGGTTACAGCAAAAACTAACAGAAATGTTTAAGCAGAGACTGAGTCACAATTTTTCATGGTCCTTGTAATGGGGCGGGGTGGGGGGTAGTCCCTGGGTGGTGTAAACCATTAGTAAGCTCAGCTGCTAACTGAAGGTTGGAGGTTCAAGTCTCCCCAGAGATATCTTGGAATAAAGGCCTGGTGATCTACTTCTGGGAAATCAGCCATTAAAAATTCTATCAAGCACAGTTCTACTTTGACACACATGGGGTTGCTATGAGTTAGAGTCCACTTGATGGGAATTGGTTTTTGTAATAAGGGGTTCCATAATGGGTAGGTGGTTGAATCAGATGACTCTTCCAGTTTTATGAGCCCTTAATTCTATTTTTTAATAAATTTTAGCATGTATTTTTATATAGTTGCAGTTTCCAAGCTATTTTAAACATCACAACACGTAGCCTAGAACCAAGAACACAACATTGATCCCTCTCTCCCCTCTTTTTAAATTCTTGAATACCAATCTCATATGATGGGGGCATATTGCTTTTTATATTATGTGTATATGGAAAGGATTTTTTTAAAAAACTCATTATGTAAAAAGTTAAATTATTATGCCAAACATGTCAGCATTTAAACCTTACTTCAATATTTTAAACAAGAAATTGGTAACAGTTTTCTTACAGAGATGAACATTTGATTACTTTCATAAGAAGACAATTGAAGAATATTTAGTTATCAGAATAATTAAAGTTAAAGATGCAAATATTCAGCTGTTGGAAAGCTTTACCAACAGGTAATTCATGTTTATTTTAATCTCTAAATTACTTTCTCTCTCTTTCTTACCTGATATCTGAGAGCTGCAATTGATGAGACAGTTCATCTTTCAGACGATCTAGTTCTCTTCTAAGTGGCAAACTATTCTTCAGCTTTTTAACAGCACTTTTTTCATTGTGATCTAACCAGGATCTAGAAATAAAAAACATATATATATATATACTTTCCAATATTAATTATGTCATGGATTGAACTGTGTTCTCCAAAAATATCTGTCAACTTACAACACACACTGCAGGGGAAGTCCGCACAACTGAACTAAATCTAAAGCTAAGAAGTTTCCTAAATACAACCAAACACTTTGAGGGACAGAGTAGCAGGGGTGGGGGTCTGGGGACCATGGTTTTAGGGGAAATCTAGGTCAAGTAGCATAACAAAGTTTATTAAGAAAACGTTATGCATCCCTCTTTGGTGAGTGGAATCTGGGGTTTAAAATGTAGCAAGCAGTCACGGAAGATGCATCAATTGGTCCCAACCCACCTGGAGCAAAGGAGAATGAAGAACACCAAAGACATAAGGAAAATACTAGCAAAAGAGGCAGAAAGGGCCATATAAACCAGAGACTTCATCAGCCTGAGACCAGAAGAACTAGATGGTGCCTGGCTACCACCAATGACTGCCCTGACAGGGAACACAACAGAGTCCTGACAGAGCAGAAGAAAAGTGGGGAGCAGAACTCAAATTCTAGTAAAAAGACCAGACTTAATGGTCTAAGACTGGAGGGACCCTGGAAGACATGGCCCCCGGACTCTCTGTTAACCCAGAACTAAAACCATTCCCTAGGCCAACTCTTCAGACAAAGATTAGACTGGACTATAAGACAGAAAATGATACTTGTGAAGAGTGTGCTTCTTAGTTCAAGTAGATACATGAGACTAAATGGGCAGCTTCTGTCTGGAGGCGAGATGAGAAGGCAGAAAGCGACAGGAGCTGGTTGAATGGACACGGGAAATCTGGGGTGGAAAAGAGGAGTGTGCTGTCACATTACAGGGAGAGCAACTAGGATCACATAACAATGTGTGTTTAAATTTTTGTATGAGAAACTAACTTGAGCTGTAAACTTTCACTTAAAGCACACACACACACACACAAAATCTGTCGACTTGGCGAGGTCATGATTCCCAGTATTGTATGTCTGTCTACAATTTTGTCATCTGATATGATTTCCCTAGTGTTATAAATCCTATCACTATGATGTAATGAGATGGATTAATGGCAGTTATATTGATGAGGTCTACAAGATTAGACGGTGTCTTAAACCAATCTCTTTTGAGATATAAAAGACAGAAGTGAGCAGAGAGACATGGGGGATCTCTTATCACCAAGAAAGCAGTGCCAGGAGCAGAGTGCATCCCTTGGACCTGAGGTTCCTGTGCTGAGATGCTACCAGACCAAGGGAAGACTGATGACAAGGACCTTCCTCCAGAGCCGACAGAAAAAGCCTTCCCCTGGAGCTGGCACCCTGAATTCGGACTTCTAGCCTACTG